AGGTCTATTGGGTGAGCCTTTCATCATATACAGTGGCTCAAAAAAATGTCCACATGTTTGTGCTATTTTCACTATTTACATTATTGTATATGAATGGAAAGGTAGACCGGGGATATGCCAGTGGGGTACTCTGTAGTACTCCTTTGGGCATGAATTTGAGCCCTTGCCCGTGGGAATTTATGGTAATGTGGTGGCACTATAAGCCTTACAAAATGATGACTCATGTGGACAGTTTTTTGACCCTAGATTAAAATATATAAATCATTAGTTATGACACCATAAAGTCATGCCACTATTAAATAAATTATGAAGTGGTGTCATTATGACATTATTAAACCTATCTCTAAGTATATAATGAAGTGTGTCCCATATATCATAGTCATAATCACCATGAAAACCATCTCCTCTGCTCAAAGGGATAATATCCTTTCTCTGTCTACTACTGGCCTCTCTACTTGTCAAATAGCCTCTAGAACTGGTTTATGTAAGTCTACTGTAGCCAACCTCATCAAAGAATGTCACCCAGACAAGGAAAACTCCAGTGGAGGTCGTCCATCCAAACTCACCTCTACTGATAGGAGGGATTATCCAACATATCACCACAGGAAAGGCTGATAATGCCGTCCAAGTCACTCATCATATCAATTCCATCATTCCTACTCCAGTTTCTTCACAAACAGTGAGGAATGTCCTAAGGAAGCCAATCTTAGGGCTGTAAAAAGAAGAAAAAGCCTCTTCTTTCCATCACTCATAGGAAGAGAAGACTAGCCTTTGCCCTAGCCCATCAAAACTGGACTGTAGAGGACTGGAAGCAGGTCATAGGTCAGATGAGACTAAAATCAATAGAATTGGGTCAGATGGGAAGGTACATGTGTGGAAAAAGAAGGGGGGCCCTCTTACAGACAGAGAGATTAATGGAACTCTCAAGTTTGGAGGAGGTTCTTTAATGGTATGGGGATGTATGGGGTGGAATGGTGTGGGATTGCTTGCAGAAGTTGAGGGGAGGATGGATGCTGAGCAGTATATGGATATCCTCCATTATCAGCCTTTCCTGTGGTGATATGTTGGATAATGACCCTCCTATCAGTAGAGGTGAGTTTGGATGGACGACCTCCACTGGAGTTTCCTTGTCTGGGTGACATTCTTTGATGAGGTTGGCTACAGTAGACTTACATAAACCAGTTCTAGAGGCTATTTGACAAGTAGAGAGGCCAGTAGTAGACAGAGAAAGGATATTATCCCTTTGAGCAGAGGAGATGGTTTTCATGGTGATTATGACTATGATATATGGGACACACTTCATATATACTTAGAGATAGGTTTAATAATGTCATAATGACACCACTTCATAATTTATTTAATAGTGGCATGACTTTATGGTGTCATAACTAATGATTTATATAATTTTAATCTAGGGTCAAAAAACTGTCCACATGAGTCATCATTTTGTAAGGCTTATAGTGCCACCACATTACCATAAATTCCCACGGGCAAGGGCTCAAATTCATGCACCAAAGGAGTACTACAGAGTACCCCACTGGCATATCCCCGGTCTACCTGTCCATTCATATACAATAATGTAAATAGTGAAAATAGCACAAACATGTGGACAGTTTTTTGAGCCACTGTATGTCAATGAATATAATTAATGCACTTCCCCAAGGTCACACTATCTGCAAATTATGCCTCATAATGTGCCCAATCCATTGTTGAGGTTCTTGTATCGCTTGGCAAGATCAGTACCTTTGTTATGTGCAGTGTCTGAACATTGGCCCCTGTGATCCTGCCACTGGGATGCATGTGTTGAAGTGTGCCAAGTATGTAGACAGTACCCCTATAGGTAGTATCATTCCTCTTCGCCAACTCTGTGCATTTATTAGTATCATCCCTCATCTGGGGGATGTGGTGGATGTACGATTGACTTTGGCTATGTCTATGCATTACTGCTAGGATTTTCGCTTGAACAAATATTTTGATAAGGACTTTTATTATGCACTTCACTATACTACCCCAGATAGCTAGATATCAAATTTTTGGATACCAATGCTACTAGTGTGTGTACTGTTTTAAATGCACTGCCAATTTTAATATTATCAAATCAATGAATTTCTATGTAGCTTACTGAAAGAACAAGAGTGCCACGCTGCCAGTGACAACAGGACAACAAATAGCACCTCCCATGTCAACATCTTTCACCAACTATCTTCTAGTGGCTGTCAGTACTGTCACCATCCATCCCATACATTGCACAAAGGATGAAATGGATATACTCATGAAGAGTGAGTTGGGCCTGCAAGACAAAGATCCCTGGGTTCTGTGGGAGGAGGACCTCTAGCCTAAGACCTCCATCCTTATAAGCCTTGTCCCTCATTCAAATCTCAACAAATTGGAAATCAAGAGGATCACTTACATCAAACAAGTACCAGGAAGCCACACTTAAATACATGGGGCTCCTGTTTTTGATAAGGAATGGCGGCTCAAGGATGCTTTTCAGAGGAAATGCAAGGTGCCAGCTAGGCATACTTGGCTGCAGGATCAGACTGAGTCACAGACAGATACCGACATAGAAGGAGATTCAATGCTAGAGACAGAGGGTAGCTTGGGGCAGCAGGCTTTCATCAAGGCTGGAATGAAAAGAGCAAAGCCTGTAGGAGAAACAGAGGAAAAGAATTGGGAGTGTCTTTTCTGGGCTGTATACTATCACATGCATGAGCTGCTCAAGGAGCAAATCCCAGAGCACAATGCTGATGGATTGCAGCCCTCATCATCATAGCGCTCGCACATTTTGCCCTTCACAGAAATGGCAGCTCTCCAGTACTGGTCTTCAGAATTTGCTACCAATCCCATGCCAGACACTACCAATTTGTGGAAGCCTGATCTTGTCCTCCTGGATTACAGGCTCAGAAAGTTCAGTTTATTGGAAAAGTCCTGGAAAACATCCTCACAGGAGTTGAGATCACCCAATCTGACCTCTCTGTTGATTGCAAATACCTTTGTTCTTGGGGGTTGCTACCAAGGGTTATCTGATGATGCGGGAGCAACTGTGGTGTTGTTTTATCCTACTTTTGGTATCTCTAAGTTCAAACTCTGTGCTCATTATATGGATTGTTCTGGCATGGTGATCTCAAAACCACTCCCGATCGTTACATCCCCTGTATGTTTTGTTGACGTGTTAAATACCATCACTTAGCAAATTACCCTTCCCTTGGCTTTGATCCAACAATCCATATCTGCAACCTCTTGCAACACCATTCCAATCAAGCTAATTTACCGAACAGCTTGATGCCATGCTTCCTGGGGCGATAGGTTGGGTTTATGACAATGATGAGAATGTGTACTTGATCATAGATATTCTATGGAAAAGCTGTGGACTTTTCAAGTGGGGAACCGTCTGCTATCATGTTCAAGACAAGTTTTAATCAGGAGTATGCACTGAAGGATTGTTGGGTCGATGAGGATGTCAAAGACATTGAGATACGGCTTCTCAAAGCGGTCAAATTGCATCCCAAATGTGGTTCAACTTGGGAAATATTGGGATGTGCTGTATGATGGGCAGCCCAACTCCACACCAACATATTGTAGTCATTGCTTGACATTCAAATTTGAGAAAAAAATCCATTGGTGTACTCTCTTGACACCCTGCAGGCTCCCATGACACACTTCAACAATGTACCTGAGTTAATTGGGGTTTTCGTGACCTTGTTGTTGGTGAGTTCCTTTCACAATCACCTGAAGTCCTCTGTAATCACCATGAGTTGTAGCCCACAAGGCAATGGTAGGCTGATGTGTCCTTCATGGAGACCTCAGCCCCAACAATGTTATTATTTACAGAGGAAAAGGCTATTTTATAGACTTTGACCATGCAAAGTTTCTCAATGATGATGGAAAAGCAGACGCGAGTCCACATGGTACTGTGCATTATAATGTCACAATTATTTCTGCTTGCATTAACCTCATGGTTTATAGGGAACTGTACCATACATATCCTTTTGCATTCTCTGCCTAATGGGGAGATGGCCCTTTTGGTCGAACATATGCCCTGCAATGATCTTGAGTTGCTCTTTTACATCCTGCTCAAATTCACTGTGATGTATCTAGGACCGAAAGGTGCACTGACCCCCCCAACCTAGCGAAGAAGCTTTGTGACGGGACACCATTCAGAGGTGGGGGCTCACCTATGAGAGCATGACCTGTGATGGTCTTGTGACCAGCAGTATGTGGAAGCGGGGAATTCATCCATGGTCTGGGCTGACCCACCATTAATCACCCTGTACTTTATCCTCTGCTGCCCCCTCCTTGAAGAGTGGCATTGTGCAATCTCTCTTGCAAGCACTCAGTCAATTACCCTGTCTCACGATAAAATCTGCAATATTCTAATGCGGGGCTTAAGTATGATCAGTCAGCAACTTGCCCAGATACCTCCTCCTGCACCTCCATCTGTGCTGGAACCAACCCTGCATCTACATCACAGCAGGTTGCAACCATCACCATATCGCAGACAGTACCTCCTATACCACCATCTGTGCCCGCCAGCATGCCAACTGTCGCCCAGTCACTTCCTGATCTTCCCTTAGCTGTTTGTCGGGCTCGTCGTTTCAAAGCCAGCACCTGTCAAACACTAGTTGGCTGGTTTGGTTTTTCTCTCATTGTATACATATATGTAGAGTATGCCCTGTGACACCACACTCACTACATCCGATATCTCATGTTTATTCTTCATTTAACACCCCACAAATGTGAGCTCTACCTACATGTAGTGCTTTGTATAATGTACACTTCCCAGCTTACATAAGTCCCTGTGGTTATATTTTGGGATGTTGTCCAACCTCAAACTTTGTCAAGTTCTATCCATACATCCAAGAAGAAAGCCAGGCACACTTCTCCCAGATGGTCCTTGAGTCCCCACAATTCAAGGATGAGGAAGGTCACCAATACAGCACATGAAGACACTGATGGTTCTCGACGGCCTCATATTGTGATGAAGATGGCAATACTCACATGGATCTCGACCAGGGGAATTTTGACAGCCAAGTCTTGGATGACGATCCTACTCATCATGAAGCCACAGACACTTTTGATGTCCTTGAATGCCATCAAACGAAAAATGGATGATGCAAAGCTCCCTCCCCGACTCATTTAGCACACATCCATGTAAGTTTTCATTTTACTTATTATGCACAATTACTGATCTGTCCCCCAGTCTTCTCATGAACACAGGTCTACCCATCCATGTGAGACTGGCTCAAAGTCTCATCAGCATTCACCCAGTCATGTAAGTTCTTGTGACTTCAGGTCTGTTGTTTTTCATTTATTGTATTAGGGATCTCGTCGCCCCTTCCTCGAACAAGCACACACTTCTTCCTCTTCCATGCACTTGACCCATGGACACGCACCTCACAGAGCACCATCTGAAAAAATCACATCAACCCACATGCGGCCAGATATTCTACCTGCACACCTCTCTGTTACTCATTCAAAGTCCCCTCAACACTTACCTTGTTCTTTCTCCTTCTGCAAACTGTCTCCTTGTCCGTGCTCTCCAACTCAGTCTATAGTTTCTTTCAGTCACAAACTGCCCTCCTCTCGTGGACAGTCTTTGGCACAGTCTCTGCCCAGGCATTCTGCTCAGCCAGATCAGACACCTTCTCCTGCTCCTAGTTCAAACCGATCTCACTCTCGTAGGGCCACACCTGTTCAATGCAGCAAATCCGGAGATGGTGCATGGTGTACCATCCAACAAGGTAATCCCTCAAAGCTCAGCTTCTATTCAGTGTCTTGGCAAGCTTTCCTGCAGCAAGTGAAGTTGGGAATGTGGTTGCAGGGAGTTTTATTGCATCCTCTTCCAGCTCATCAGGATGCGGTATCACTGGTACAAGAAGTTTTGGATACCATATTATGGACATACCACATTAAAAAGCTGAAGCTTGACAATGGTAACTTGCCCTGCACCATCAGAAGTTGCTCCAATTTGATGTCCTTGTGAAGGTTATTTCCCAGAGTATAAAATGCTGATGCCACAACTGGTAAGTACTGAGCTTAAATACAAACTTCACTAATGAACCAACAGCTCTGTGATGACCTGTTCACCTTTTGTATGGAGCTCAAAAAAATTGTGATATTTATTGCGAAGCAATTATACGGTATATTCTTAAAGGGCAACTCAATGCACAAGGAGCATGTCAGGGAAGCAGCAGCTAAGCTCCTGAAGACCAGTGAATATCTTCGGCTCCCTGACTCTTCTGAGGTCAGTGACAACATCATGGTGTGCGACATTCATTATTGACATTTGCAGGGAAAATATACCAATTTTGTGTCACAAGTCCTCAAGGAAGCCTGCCTCAGTTTTTACTATGGCAATGGTAAAAAAGCACTCAAACTAACTGATGAATTTCAACACAAAATTTTTGTCAACAGCCTTATTCTGGTGGCCATGGTCATAGGCTTTGGTTTTATTAATTTTTATATTCATTGCTGATCAATGCTTAACAGATGAAGGGTGTTCTCTCCAGCTTCCACAACAGTGGTACTGACAAGGTGCCTGACCTTACCACTGACATGTGCAGGGCTGACTTCAACACACTGCAAAAGTCTATCAACAAGTTGATGGTCATTCCCAAGTGGCATGTTGAGCTTGAAGAGATGCTGAGGGAATAGGCCAAGGAGGGGATGATAGGTGGACTTCACAATGACTTGGACAACGCAGCGGTGTGGGGAATTCCCCCACTGTAGATGTAAAACCCCATCCTTTCTGCATCGTCTCACATCAGTTCTGCATATTCCGCACGTTCTGCATTTCCTGTGCATTGTCCAGTGGGTTCCGCATTCCCACGCATCCTTTGGAACCCGCCCGCACCATCCAATATTCCCGCACATCGTCGGACAACCTTCACATGTCCTGTCCCCATCCTTCCAGGTCCATTGGTATGCTGTACCTCTCTTCCTGTTGCTTCTAACATTATCCAGATCACACTGACACATGCCCTTATGGCACGAACCCCTATTCCGGAGTATTGCGCCCATGTGCACTGCCTGCCTTCACTTCCGCTTCCTGAGAAGTTTACTACCTGTACCTCAGTGTTCCTTGAAAATAATCTTCCCTTTAAGTAGTGGTACTCAGGGCTTGGGTGTTTTTTGTTGAATCCCATCTTTTACCTTCCCACTTTTCCTTCACCTTACTAGAGGACTGCTTTGACTTATGCCCACTATCAATCTAACCTTGTGATATACTTCCCTCGACTTGACCTGCGAGTTCCGATGAATCAGTACGTTCCGTGCTTTATCCGTTCAAGTTCTGTTTCATTCTGTTCCATTCCACTTGAGTTCCGCTTGTTCCACTTGAGTTCTGCTAGTTCCACTAGTTCCACATTTTTGCAGATCCTCATCCTACCTGCAGTAGGGTTGATTAGGGTTTTTTAGACAGAGACTAGTACTCCCCAGTAGCAATCCCCTTTAGGGTTGAACGTGCTTGTTCCCAAGTGAGGCAGCAGGCAGCAAAGACCCAACTTTGTAGTAGATCGATTTCTCGCTGCTGCACTTGTTGTACCTACAGCGGGCAGCGAGGATATCAATATCATCATTTAGTAGATTTTTTGAGCCATTACAATGTCATTTGCACAGCATGTTTGATCTGTCTACAATAATCTGGTCTGCCTGTAATGTCAAGTTTGTCTACATTGTCCAGTGTGTCCAGTCTGTCAATATTGTGCCTTTCTGTATGGATTGTAAGGCTTTGTGACAGGATTGTAAAGAAGGGACTTAGCTGTGGGATTGTACTGTTTGTACAAATCTGTACAAATCTGTACAAGGTTCCCCTAGTTTGCTGATGAGTTTTTCTCCTTGCATCTCATGGCTTCTGGCAAGAAGAAGACTCAAAGCAGCAGTCAAGGCTGGTGGTGGGCAGAATTTACAGAACATCCTGGCTACGAGAGTTCTGAACCAGCATCAATGGTGCAGCAGAAGGCAAAGGTAATTTGCACCAGACTACTTGAGCACCATGTTGCAGCAGAACAGCTTTGTGATCAAAGTGAGATACAGTTTGGATTGTGGGATCATGTACAAGATGAGCATGCAATTAAGGGAGCAGGTATTAACTTCCTCTCACAAATTTTACTATTGTCATTTGCTAACACTTACTACATCAGGAAAAACTATATCTCTATATAGAGGACCATCCTCTATATAGCCCCGATAGCACACCACAGCTCTATACAGTCTATCGCAAGCTATCACAGCACTATAGACCAGTATAGACATCATGAAAGTCTATATATTACCATAAAGTTTGGTAAGTGTATTTAGAAGTAAAACATTTCAACAACTATAGACCCCAGTAGACTGTGGGAACTTTTTTCGATGAAAACCAAAGTTGTAGTCCTTGTCTAGGGAAGTCTATCCATAGTCTTATGACTTCAATAGGTTAAGATCCTAGTGAGTTATAAGGAAAATACTCGAAATTGAAGGGTTCAAGAAAGCAACTTGACCATGGGAACCTTTTTCGATTAAATCAAAGTTGTAGTCCTTGTCAAGGGAAGTCTATCCATAGTCTAATGACTTCAATAGGTCAAGATCTTAGTGAGTTATAAGGAAAATACTTGGAATTGAAGGGTTCAAAAGTGTTAAGGTACACCTTATTTATGTAAGCAAAAATGCGAAAATTCACCTTATGTGTATTCAAAATCCTAATGCTAACAGTCAATTTCATTGTCTTTTTCTTACTGTCATAATCCTAGTCCTATTAACCAAAAACTCGAAAATTCACCAAGTCTTGTGTTGTGGCTTTGTTTGGCACTGCTTATGTAAGCAAAAATGCGGTCAACCAACAAGTCTTTTCCCATTCTTTCCTTCCCCCCCCACTGCCCCCTCATTAGATTATCTTCCATATTTTTCTTACAATTTTCGAGTTTTTGCCTCTCTTCTCTTCTTCTTGCTTCTCTATCCTTCTCTTGGTGTTGATGTTGTTGGTGCTGGTACTGGTGCTGGTGCTTTGAACTCTGGTAAGTCTCCCTCCATAATTTTCGCATTTTTGACTATTTGACTAATCTTTTTTCTAACCCTCTCCTTCTAGCTCTCTTCCCTCCTGCTCCTCCTCCCCCCAACTATTTTCGCATTTTTGACCATTTGGCAAGTCTTTTCTCTGACTCTCACTTCCTCCTGTCTGATCCTCTCCTTCTAGCTCCCTTCCCTCCTCTTCCCTCAAGAATTTTCGCAATTTTCACTATTTGGTAAGTTCTTTCCTCTCTGATTCTTCCTTCTAGTTCTCTTGCCTCTTCCTCCTGTAATTTTCGCATTTTTGCCTGTTTTGTAGTTATTAGTTTACATGTATTGTAGTAGTTGAAATATAATTTGGAATTTTCGCTTTTTTTTTAATTTTGAGAACACTATCATGGCAACAAACAGCTATTAAGAGAAATTTTTGCTTTGTGTTTTGAGCTATAATAGCTACAATAGTTGTGGTATGTTCCACCCAGCTATAGCAACTTTAATAGAGCTATATAGCACTATACACTGGTGTAGTAAGCCTGCACAATTGGGCACTTGGCTATATGAGCTATAGGGCTATGGAGTCTGTATAGCAGTCTATAGTGCTATGGGTGGCTATATAGCCTTACCACATTTTCCTGATGACGTTATGCTCTTTCCTGTACACCAAGAGACTGGGTTAGTTACGAGATGTTCCACATAATCTCAGCTTGCGACTCGGTACTACTACCAAGAGTGGGTAGGCAGCTGCTTAGCGCTTAGTCCTTAGTACCAGTAGAGAAAATTAATTTGCATATATTGACCTATTCTCTCTCCATATCTGCCAGAGCACCAAATAACTTCCATAAATACCACGACGAAACTTCGAACATAATCCTCTGCTCCTTCAGAATACTTGACAAGCATTTCCCATGCTACACACTACTACTAGTTGACACATGTATGCGCTCCTGGAAGACAATTGAAGCCATGCCAGTTGCTGAGTCGGAGTCTGTTATGCTGATGGTAATCAGAGGAGGTTTCAAGTCAATCAATCTACTAGAGGTGGCACTCTAGAGAAGTCAAAGGAATCAAGATGGATTCACTAGTGTCTAACTAGTAGTCTGAGGATGTATTTGGGTAATTCCAGCGTAGGTCAAGATGAGGAATCATTGAGACTATGACCTGCTTATATACGATAGTAAGTCAGGGTCCAGGGTCTAGGGTAAGTAAGTAATATGTCCATATAAGTATAGATGAGTGTCCATGGGAATACACATGGTGTATGCATGTTAAGGGTCTGTGAGAATACACTAGGTATCAGCATGTAAGTAATATCCGAGGACTTGCTGAGGACAGATCAAGATTGATCTCAGATCAATGAATAGGGTTGTGCACCTGTGATAAGGTGAAGTCAGAGAGTAACCCTAGATAGGGTGATATCGGGAAATAGTGATACTGTGACATGGTGCCAATGTGAAGAGGTGAAGATGTGCAAAGGTGAAGAGGAAAATGAAAGGTGTCACAGACAACCGTAACAGAGTCGGCCATGAGCTTAGCGTTATATTCTCGAACACTAAGGATGAGGCGTGGTCCCAGCACAAACATCTGCATGGCCAAGAGAATTTGAAGGATACCAACATATGTAGATCCTGCGGAAAGTGACTCCTACAGAAATGATGAGTACTAGTACTGGTCATATGCAGAGGTAAATCAGTATACCGCGAGCATCGGAGAGAGATAACCAACCTGGAGAGAAGCAACAGCAGCAAAGCTAGCATGTGCAGAACTTCAATGGCAATAATAAAAATAGTATTTACATTACGAGCTCACCTTGCAAAGTAAAGCACGTGGGATTTTATCAACACTGTGAAACAGTTCTCAATGATCGATCCTGTTGATGGTCCCAGCCGTCGCAGGTCACGGAAGTGTTTTACAGCAATCCAGACTGCAAGACACAGGGCGAGGACCTCCCATACAGCGGTGAGTATCCAAACAGCTGAAATCAGAATGTCGACGTCTCCCTCGTGATCGTAACTGCAGATATAGATGCCAGAGAAGATTAACTCCTCTGGTATTGGTCTGGTCAGCATGACCCTTTGATACATAACTAAAGCTTACCCCCTACAACATACTTGAATCCTCTTGCGGTGAGCACTCCACAGGCGATGTTGACAGCCAGGAAGATTACAACGAGAAAGATAAGCATCTTTCTCGATCCCTGATACATAGCATATAACCGAGCAATCATGATGACTTGTATGATGTTTCAGTCGAGTCAATATCACCGAGATATTGCAGCTGAGTAGCTCACCATCTAGCATGGCAGTTACGACTACATTTGTCCAATTTAATGCAAAGTTCATGTTGTTGCCTGAAACACCCAATTAGTGATCATCCTAGGATGAAACACCCCAAACAAACTCACAGCTGTTGCCATCATTATACCAACACGCTGGACGGGAGTTTGACTCACCCCTACATAGGAACGCAATTAGTTGGACGCGCATAGTAGCAAGCATCCGTGCAGACACTCACTATATCTGTCAGCGAAACCGATGGAAGGCCTACTGCATGCCGTTGGTCAGAAGAAGCAAACACAAGTGCATATGAGACCTACCCAACATGTTGATACTGATTGTGACAGACATCTTATCAGCACATCCCCACCTTGTTAACCTTGCAAACATACACAGTGTAAGGTATTCCAATGTAGCGCACCTAGAATATTTCGATGTCAACACAACTAGCCAACTGCGCGCATAACATCACGTACAGTGACATATAGAATCGTCATGAGGGACCAGTATTGTCTCTGCCCCGGATTAATTGTATCATTCTGTTGTTCTTTTGATGTAACTCTGCTTACCCAGATGAGTTCAATCTATAACACCATTTCAGTAAGATGACTGCTCCGGTAACGGCATCAACCTACCTCATGTCCGAGTGTCAGTGCTGGCAATACAATAAGGATATCAATGGTTCTTTAATACTATTTCGCTTACCCCAATCATATACCATCGCAGCGAATGAGGCAACTGTAAAACCGCCGTCAAGGTTGAATCGAGTCATTACCAACATCATCCGACTGGACCTCCACGAATCTAAAAAATAGCTGAAGAAACGATCCCAATTGAGTACCGGCCACAAGCTGGGATCGTTCGAGACTATGGTCATATTCGAGGGATGAGAGTGAGTGAGTGGGGAACTTGGTGGACATGTCACGACATTATTCGTGCTAGATATACCGTCCTCCGGCGGCGCTTGTATCGCCAAACTCGGTATAATAATCGTTCTTGCCTTCGGGCCCTTGATTGACCGATGTAAGGATTGCGGCGTGAAATAAAATAGACAGCGGAAGTTCTCGATTTGAAAGCATCAGCAAAACAGTTTTTTTCTCACCACCAAAAAATGACTTGCCACAGCTTGGTCCCCTCTGTACAGCTCGTACAGGACATTGTAGTTGGCTGATGAATGAACTGGAATTTTAACCGAGTCCCGAGGATCTACAAACCAGTGTCTCGCACAGGAAATGTTTGCAGACTGGGAACGCACTGCACTAATGCATCACACAGCCAGGTACATCTTGATCGATATCATTTACGCCATGGCATATCTAAGTGAAGACAAAAATGAGAGGACGCAGGGGAGACAAGACTCGGACACGCCTGTAGGCCTGCATGGCTGCGCAGGAAGCTCCGACTTCTGATTCTTCTAATTGTACAATCTCATGTTGATGGCCATTGTGTTTCAGTGATCTTCTTCTGGCCGGAATTGAGTCAGTGCACACGAGAGTGCTATTGAGATGACTGCTGATCATATCAGCAAAGAACTCATCACCCTCAGCAATATCATGGGCAGCTATGAAGGCTACACCGTAGTTTGATGGTTCCACCTAGGTCACATACGGATAGTCAAAATACAAGAAACAACATCTCATCTGCATAGGAAGACTCACAGTTAAGCACGCTAAGGAGCGAAAAGAACCTCCTTGATGGGCCTTCGACAGCCTTTTAGCCAATTGTACGTAAGATAAAGCCGAAACGTTTTTCCTGATGACAGCGGCGCAGCGCATGCTTTCAACGACCTACTGTATTATCCAACTTCGTGAAGTTTGTGTAGGAGGACCACAGCATCACGGACGCTCGCTTCTGCTTCATACGACCTCCTGACAGTACCTTCTCAGACTGGTGTTTTCCAAGTGCCCAATTCGCCGTTAGTAGTTTGGGTGAACTCCATGGATCCAGCTTACGGAGTAGTGAACTAGCTCTACCTAGTTCTAGCCAGACCTCCTTCCAAGCAACAACCACACCAGAAATCCCGGATAGTGCCATTGAGGAGCAGAGGATCCTGAAATTGAATATTTATCTGAATCGCTTGAGATGTCTTCTGTCTAAAGTAGCAAAAACTCACATCTCGGTTGATTACAGAGACTACCATATCTGTACTTACCAGCGCACCAACATATTTCTTGCGGAGACCTGTTTTACATACGAAACTTTATCGACGCCGCGCATGCTCGCTTCATATGAGACACGACGCGCCCGACATCGAACGACGAACATGTCGTCAAACGGTACACAGTGGTTAACTTCAGAATTTCCATTTTACAAACGACAACCACATCAAACAAGCACCACACTATCCAACACCGAAAACCCAGCAGCAACTCCACCCTCATTACTCTCCGTCCCCTTCGTTCTCACAAGCCACCCCACTTCCCTCTCCACCACCTCTTCCTCTCCGAACAAGGCGTATCCAAAGATGCCTAGCTCGGAAATGACTTCTGTGCGAATGACTTTCTTCCCTGCATTCTCATCTGAACTCAAAGGGGATGCCGCGGCGCGTACGAGGTATCCCCCTACCCCACGCGGCGTCTCGATCATCTCCATCGCGATCCATGCTTCGCGTTCTTCAGCTGGTAAAGCATCTAAGAACGCAGGGATGGCGTCGCGGTAGACGTTGTTCCCACCTCCCTCGCGTTGGGGTTTGAGTACGAGCGAGGGGGCTTTGAGGTGTGCGAGATGGGTGCCTGGGGGTGTGCTTCCTTGACCTTGTTCTGGAGCTGGGAGTGCAGCGACGATATCAGCATCCTCCGAGTCGAGCGCCCACATCCCCATCCAGGTACTGCGGATATCTGCTGCGTGTGTTGTGAGATCAAGAGCGCTTGTACCCCATCTCGAGCCTTCGTTACTGAGAAAACGTTCGAGCACCCCAGGACGGGTGAGTGCTTCTTGGACTTTCTTCCCGCCTGCTAGTTGGAGTGGAAGGGAAGGACATTTGATGGCGCGACTGCGCTCAAGGAGGAAACGCGTCTCGTAGTAAGAAGGCGTGGGGAAATCAGACGGGGTGTATGATGCCCGGAAGTAAATTGTCGAGATTTGATATCTTGAGTGGGTTGTGTTGGGAAGGGTTATGGTAAGGGCTTGCGTGCTGGGGTCGAGGGATGCGGAGGTGGCGAGCTCGGAGAGGGTTTGACGGATGATGTGGATTTGATGTCTGCTGCTTGCTTAGTTTCGGGTTTGTGCGGAGATGAATGTATGTACTTTTCCAGTAATTCGTATTCTAGCCAGCGTTGGTCGAAGACGTTACGTTCATTGGGTTGGACAACGAATAGGATGCGTGCGCTGGATTGAAGTGAGTGAGTAAATAATGCTTGGGTGGAGTTGAACTGACTCTGGGAGGCCGTATGCTCCGTGAGCTTTGGCGAGACCTTCAGCCAGTCCAGAGGTGGTGCTGTTCTCTGGGAAATTACCTGCAGTCAGGTATGAGGATGCAGAGAAGTAGGAGGTAGACGCCAGGATATGTCTATCCTACATCAGCCTCCACAAAACAAACATCCAAAATCCAACAAAATAAACGCACCTATGCATAGCAGCCGCACGCTCAGAAAGCGGACCAAAAGACGAAGAGATGGTATTAAACTCGACTTGCTTCAGCGCAAGTCTATCGTCCGCAGCGTGCAAGAGATAATCGGATCTAAATAGGCCGAGGTGTAACGGCTATATTCCGTCAGCGTCACTCCAGGAAAAGGAAGGAAAGAAGGAGTTTCAGACCCACTTGTACCACGCCATGCTCCCTGATATTCTTCCACCCCCTCCACAGCGTCCCAGTAAACTCATCCGCCTTCCCCACGCCCTCCTCAGCGCCCATCACTGTATCTAAGAACTGGGTATCCATCGCTACGCGTGCATAGAGAACATTGTATACGCTCTGCAGGGTTCTTGCAGCTTGGAACTGCGCACGGGGAAAGGGCGCAGGCAAAAGTGAGAGGGGGGCATGAATTGCGGTTGTTGGTATGCGTGGTTGGGTATTGGATTGGGATGGTGGGAGGTATAGTAATCCGTGCGAGAGCGCGTAGGTGGTTGCGGTGAGTGTTAGAGCTTCCAGCTGCTCTGGGGTAAGCTGGGGAGGCCAGGCGGAAAAGTTGAAGGAGGTGGTCATTAGTGAGCGGGGTTACGTACCGATGAGTTATAAGCGACGGAGATAAGATAACAACACGTGTTCACTGCCTCGATCCTCTACCATCATCATGGCGCAATTTTCCACCATCCAAATAATTGAAACTAGTTTAACTTTGCTTACTTCGTAAGTCGCACTGATCACTTAATCACTGAGGCAATAATGAGGTGGCGTCTCATAGTATCCCTGTTGATCAATCATATCGGTGTACACGGTGTCTTACAGTGTCCATGATCCCTCTCATGATCAGCGCTCGCTAGCGCTGATAGCCCCAGCGTTGATCTGTGTTGCGACGCTTGGCGTATGTTAGCATAGCACTAGCCAGGTCCCCGGCACCGTACTTTGCAATTGCTGCACAGCGTTCGGTTATTACGCGTCCTTATATACGCACGACGAGCAGCACGATCTACAGCCCACCTAGTGTGTCGCACGAACTTGATGAGTCACGCTACCGCTTTGTATGTTGACGCTGGCCTTCAGGCATCTAAGGTATGTGTTATCTGAAGTGTTTGATATTTTCGAGCTCTCTGATCGACTTCTGAATCACCTAGTACTTCAATGGTTTGCAGTCTTATCATTTATTTGTCGTGTCTCTGACTAAAATACCACAGTCGGGACATTTGCAATTTTAGTTAATATATTGCTTAACTCGAACTCGGGGTGGGGCTGTGAACTAATCTACTCCCCTAGATTTTCGACTACTACATCACTCTAGAGGCAGAGGTACGTGCGGTGTCACCTGATTACAAAATTATTCGATGACCATCCAAAAGTCGCTGTCGGTCTGGCACCGCAAATGGACGTTTGTACGATTTATATTCACCATATCACGATACTTGCCATTTTTTGCCATTGGGATGACATTTTATACGTGTTTATCAGTTGCTTTTTGCGACAGTTTCTTATGGCGGCCGATGGAAAGCTGCGCTTCGAACACAATACTATCCTGGTGAAAGTGTGAGTAACGAAACCCTTTACACGCGCAAATATTCATGATAGCCGTGTAGTGTGTTAGATTTGGACAAGCGTCCAACGGTCAGCGTGCACAGGTTACTACTGCACGTCGATTTACTCATTCATTCTTTACTTAGTGTTGCACATCATCTGCATTATAGCTGCAGAAGGTACGTCATGTCTCAAACGAGCCACCAAATCTGACTTATTTTTCTCTAGGATTGCTAATAACGAGGATCTACGCTTCCTGGAACAGTAAGCGTCTACTGACATTCCTACTAGTCTTTCCCGTAGTAAGTTTTTCTTTGCCATCGCCGCGAGGACCTGAGTTGACCCGAATGTCCAGGTTTGTTTCATCATCTCTTATATCATCTCGGACACTCCCCTAGTCTTCAATTCTTCGAACACGACCCAAATTAACCTACGTTTGTGAATCCGTCTTAATTTCCGTGACCGTGATGCTCACAATGTACAGCGAATCCGGGTAACTGTCTTTTCGTGGGCGGGAGAAACAGCGTCTTCGAGTACGCTGCTTTATTACTCTATGAACTGGGTTGGTCATTTCTTCTCGTCTCGTCATTCGATTCTCGAACTCACGTATGGATCAGTCCTCCTGTGCTTGATGTTGTTCATCAAATCCAGAAGATACAAAAATA